AAAACAATCCGAAAGGATCCCTATGATTCCAAGGGTTACACACACACACACCTTTTGGGGTTCCTGTGCCTTTGCACTTCCTTGGTGTGAGATTCCAAGCATGGCTGCGCTTTCAACGTGGCAAACGATGAGAGGCCCATTAAATTGTCCATTGCAAGATTACTCCAAATGTGCCACAACCACCCAACTTCATCTGAGTGGTCCAACAGTACAAACCTGCCACCCTACAGTGCTTCCATTCAAACTCTTCTACGCTTGGCCTTGGCTTTGCTCGGTGTTTTCCGATCCGCTTGCGCTCGGGGTCGTTCTGTGTCATGGCCGTTCGAACGTTTCAATCATCAAAAATCCTTTCGGAAATGCCGCGGTTGTGGAATGGAACTATATATATATATAACTGGTTGGACAACAGAAAAAACTGGTGTATGAACTCCCAGTGCCACCGAAAGAGGTGGCGCACTCTCATTATATGGCCCTGCTCATGTTTCGGATCCGTCGGAAGAGAGCAGCAGCATGTGGTGGGACGTGAGCGGAGGTCGTGAGCGGATGTCCTGCGTGGTCGTTGGCTGATTTACAGAACCCGTGTGTCGTGCAAGGGATTCACGAATTCAGCATTCAACCATTCAACTTATTCAACCTAGCGCCATTGAGGTTTTATGAGTAGATTCAGTAGATGTCCGTTTTCGCAGTGTAGACATGTCAAGATCATCTTATTACAACCAGCACAACGATCTTCCAATGGCACTGGAGATGTCCGCGACCTGTGATGCTCGGATCTGGATGATTTCTTGTGGTCACCACCCATGTTACAAACTGTTGGTGTCGAAAAAGTGGGCTGGGCCATCCAAGAAAGCACAATCCAAAAAGCTTACGCCAGCCTGTCATCAAACCAATGGCTGTTTGAAGGTAAATGGTTGGAATCCCACGGCTTAGTTTGACTGATTTTCTTCTCGAAGTGCCCATTCTACAAGGAAACTATTCCTAACATCCCAACGGGGCCCCAACGGCAACATCAAACCTATAGGATCATCATCATGTCCAGTGGTGCCCCTGCGCCCCCTATGAACACTACTCTGGTCGGCCGACAGTCGACAGTATCCCTACCTGGAGCCAGGCATGACCTCGTTTTTGATAGGACAAGATCATATTTGGGGTGGTTAGTGGTGTAAAGTAGAGGTCACTCAGAATCTGGGTGGTCACTCAGAATCTGGGTGGTATATAGAATATTCCTTGGTGAGCACGCATCCTTGACGGGGAAAACCAAGTCTGTTTGACTCGTTGGTCGAGCTATGTGGAAAAAAACTTATGTCAGCCGCTATGCTGTTGATTAAGGCAAGTCCTACACTAGAACATTCGGACCCTCAGCTGTTCGCACCAAACACATCATCTATCTCTGATAAGCGTTGACTTAATCAACCATTCCAGTACTTCATTTGTTTCACCTTCATGTTGTTCACATTTAGTCTGAGATGTAGCCATTTGTGTTGGAACTCCCTGTTTTGTGGGAAATATACTTTTTCCAGCTGTTGCTATCTAGTGGGGAATCCAATCCCCTGGGAAACCAAGCGGGACATCGCGCTTTCGATTGGTGAAAACCAACATTCTCAAGGTCTTTCAGTCGAACACCACATGCCGTTGCATCATGTGGCTTAGAGTTGAGCGCGCTCATGAGTTCAGCTGTCGCTTAGCCGGGCTCGGATCTATCTATACTATATTGTATATTCTTTCGTGTACAAAGAGCGTGGTCGATGAGTCACATACAGCCGATGCTG